CTAATTTTGCACTTTTGTCTAATTAATTTTCGAAAGTGAAACAGCCAAGTAAAACAACCAACAATGCATTTCTATAATAGGTACAATCTTCACAAAAAAACGCATCAGAACGATTAGATTCTCCATTTACTATTTGGTTGAATGTCTTTTCTCAAAAATTGCAATTCTTCTACATGGTCAAACAATGTGTAAACATCGAAGATCTATTCTTTTCTATTCTAAAAAGGCCATTTTGACTAAACATGCTTCCCTAGTAAGTTTTTCTAGTAACATGCTTCCCTTCAAAATTACTTTAAAAACAGAAACAAATCGTACTCAGTTTGGATCAAACATGTCGAGCCGAAACTCTGCCCAGATTGTTGATTGAGAAATCTCTAGCGATTTGCGCTGTTTCGGCATGTTGCGTTTGACTTAAACTGAAAGCGACTTCTTTGGTTTTCCGACCCTTAGAAATTTGAATTTGATCAGCTTTTGATAAATGCGTAAACTTCCTTCATTCCGCTACCAAAAATCAAACTGTGCGTGTATTCGTATGAGCATATTTGTAAGCTTTTACTCAATCTCTTATGCCCAAAAAGGATTGCGTCATTCAAAAGAGAAAAATTACGAAATTAGTTGCAGCATTTATATGCCAACTCAATAAAAGGTCCGTATCTCAGAGATGTGATTTGTGCTAAATAGTCTTATTGTTAGCTATGAGTGAGAGGACTGAATTTTTTTACGTAGAAGCTCAAAACGTACAGAATTCTTCGTAAGCTTGTTTATGCTAAATATTTCCAAAATAACTCAATATGAATAAAATATATGTACGATTTGCCACGTGGTTCGTTAGTCTGACAATTTAACCGCAATTGTCAGCGAATGGCTTATTGTGCATTTGCAATCGCCAAATAACGAAAACAACGCGGGAACACGAAAAATACAAAATCAGCAATGTGAGGTGCGTGGCAGATACGCCTCTTGTTTTCGGTATACCTTCAACAATAAAAGGATTCACTTTTGAAGTGGAGATACAAGTATGGCCATCGGCATTGTTGCATTAACGGTACTTCCTAAGTCATCACTAAATTCTCAAGTTATAAGCTGTGATCACGTCTCTTGATTTAGGTTGCTGTTTTTTTGTCAGCAGTCTGCAATGGTTAGTCTTCTGAGGCTTATCACTGGATGCTTTCTGCTTTATGAAGTTGCTTTCACCTGCTTCAAAATGTAGCGAAGCTCTCCTGAGCTGAATGAAAGCGATGCAGATTCAGTACTCGAGGCAGTAAACAAAAGAAGAACAGCTTTGGCAGAAGGGACTCGATATAGTGGACCAGACGGCGGTTTTTTGCCGAAAGTGGCTATAAAGAACTTGATGAGTGAAGACTTAATTACATCTTGCGCTGACTCTCGATTATGTGTGATTACAAGTGCCGATCATGGAAAAAAATATGTAAAAGTAGATGTGTATCTCCATCTTTGAAAATGCACGACCACAACTAGGACATATGGTCGATCCTACTACTTGAAATCGTTTACACCAGTGGCGGTCGGAAGTGGGGGGGGGGGAATAGAGAAATTTTTAAAGTTACTTACATGGGTTGTAAAAGTGTGCAAGTGGCTTGCTCATAACTGTAAATAATAAAAATAATTTTTAAAAATTTTTAAAAATTCAAATTAGCCCCGCAAAAAATCTGGGAAGCATCTCAAAAAATTTTTCGGAGTGCGTGGTTAATGCCACGCATTTTAACACTGAAAAATTATGCCCCCCCCCCGGGAACGGAAATCCTGGGACTGCCATTGGTTTACACTAATATTACTTTACTAAAGGAACGAGTCTTAGGGCATTTCCTGGTAGCAGAAGAACCAAAAAAGCTTAATCAATAGCATGACTTTGATACGCTTGTTAGGAAAGTAATATCATTTGTAAATGAATGAGCACCGAAATAATCGTGTAGTCAATATAACAATATGTCAATATAACATCAAAATATAATGCATACATTCCCTTTGCATTTGATACATCTTCCCTCTTACTGATGAAATACGTGATGCAGCTTCAAAAACAATGATTACTACCTGCTACTGTTTTCAATTTCACTAAACTCTTTTCATATGATGTAATAGATCAATGCAAACATAAAGGCCATTTTTCTTTACACAAGCATTTTTCACGACAACTATTTCCATCAGAATTTCTTCTTTGAAATAACCGCAGCGTACCATTAAGGAGATTTTCTATGCTTTTTATTTATGGTCAAAGCCGATTACTAGCATAATTTCTAATAGTTATATAGCTTCAAATAACAACATCCAAAACCAGAATTTTGTTGCATTCACTTTTTGGTCAGGATTCAAGTCCGAATGAGGGCGCTTTTCCGAAAATTCAGCTATGTATGCAGAAGAAAATGTCTACATCACGCATACTTTAACGTTCTCTAAGAAATTATCTATACTGAGATATCGGCGCCTCAACATGCTTGTTTGTTTTGGTCATTCCGTGGCCCATAAATTTCTTCTGAGTAATCGCCAACGCTTTGCTCATCTCTGTAAGCCTGAGGAGGGCGTCCTGTTGACAGTTTTTGCAAGAATTTTCATCCGTTTAGTGCGCGGGAAATTGAAAATTCTATAATTTGGGACTTTGAGACTTAATGAAATGCGCTGAAAAAACTGACAATTTTGAAACCTAATATTTTCCTTTTTGCAAATTTTCTTTGTCCATGCCCTTTCCAGCTCCTTTTGTGGCTACAAGAACGCAACTAATCATTTAACTATGAAGGAAGTGATAATCTTTTAAAAACAAGGTCTTGAAAAAAAAAGATTGTTTTCATTACGCAATCCATATCTTTCTGCCCGTTTGTGATGTGAGTATAGCTCAATCTGCGCTGTATTGCAAAAGATTTGCTGCTTCGATATTTGCACCGCATTCAGACGTCAAAGTAAGAATTTGCAAAACAGTTATTATTTTTGCACCAACCTAATAGTTTGGCGAGAATTAGAAAATAAATGTTGAAGTGGGCTATTTCGTGCTCATTATCAAGCTGCCCCTTGAGTTCTGTCTTTGTTTTCAGTGGCACTAAGTTATGTACTTCTCACTACTAAAAGAGTTTTTTTTTTCGTTAGAGCATAGCGAGCTCTACAAAAGGACGTTCCTGCTTTTGCATCAGATTTATCCAAGTGAGTTTGAATCCAGAAACAAAAAGACTTAATTGCCCTCAGAAAGTTGAGAAAAAAATCAAGTCCATCCTATGGAAAGCCTACAAAGATTCCAGTTTATTCACGCATATTCTTTCCACATTAAACATTGATACCAGTGCTGCAATTTTTTTCTAGTTAGAATTCTAAAAAAGTTTTTATACTTTTTCCAAAGCGTTGCTGTGCTGCTCATACATAAGCGATTGGGTGCTACAAGTTTACAGAAGTGCAAACGTAAATTTCCAGCTTTGCATAAACCTCGATTCTCGAAAAGTGCAAGAAATACGAATTTTGGCGAGGCGAGAAGAGACGTAACTAAGAGTAGCTTCATATTTCTCAAACACTAGAACTTGTAGGAAGCTAAAATTCACGTTTGTGCTCCCACAGATATTTGTACCATGCAACTGCTTATGTGAGAGCAGCACAGCGTCATTTGAAAAAAACATCAAAAATTTTCTTGATCTCTAACCGAGAAAAGAATACGACAGCGTCATATATAGATGTCTGATGTGCAAAGAGTATGCGTGAGCGAATTAGGATTTTCGCAGGATTTCTTTGGACGGAGTCACGATTTTTAATTTTTAGGTGGTTGAATTTTTTTTGGTTTCTGATTTCATACTCGAGGTGGATGTGGATAAAAGCTGATGCAAAAGCAAGAAAAGCATCTTGTAGAACTTACTTCGCTCTCTTAAATGGTAATTCGAATGGGATTGAAAATTAGATAACTTATTGCGGTTGAATTTCAGGTCGGACGAAACTTATGATACATCCTGATAGCTGGAATGTAGGATGTGTCTAAGCCCCTCCTCAAAAGTTGGGAATTTGCGCGAATCCTGTCTTAAAAATTCGAGTACCATTACACTTATACGAAACATTACAAATTGTTACAAAAGACCTTTGTGACTATATCCTTTTTCAGAAATGGAACTGCGAACTGGCAAGGAAACTGCAAGAACAGCTCGATGGTCTTCAGTGTAACACAACCGACGATCTCGAAAACTCATCTTATATATAAAGCTGAATGTCTGTCTGTATGTATGTCTGTATGTCTGTCTGTAGGAATAGAAATTTTTATTTCTGAACCGATCGGGACCAAACTTGGCACACATATACTTCGGGGCAGGGAGCGTGTCATAGGCTACTTTTCGTTATCGATCGATATCGATTTCACCGATTTTTTGCAAATTTTGAGCTAGGGGGCTGGGATTTTGCACAGGGGGGTATGCTGATCACCCCGTGGGGGTGATCAGCATGTTCGATTACCCCCCTGTGCAAAATCCCAGCCCCGTAGCTCAAAATTTGCAAAAAATCGGTGAAATCGACATCGATCGATAACGAAAAGTGGACTATGACGCGCTCCCTGCCCCGAAGTGTATGTGTGCAAAGTTTGGCCCCGGGCGGAGCCGGGTTTGCCATCTAGTTGACAATAGAAACATGGACTTTGCTGAATAAGTGCGAGCGCGAAAGATTTTGCAGGAGTCTCCAATAATTGAGATAAACAGCTAGCTCTACATATCCATTTCAATCGATAATTTTCATATAAGCAGACTACTGAAACTATTAAGTTAGCAAGGTCTTCAGAACAAGCTACCTTTTGTTTACATCTGCTTTCGGGATTTATTTTTGGAAGATCTGAGTCTCTTAACAATTAGTAACTAATTATTATTAGAGAATTATTCGTTTAAAGTGCATATGATTTAGTCGAAGAAAACACTACTACTAAAATGAAAAGAAGGCCGTAAGAACGAACGACAGCTACTAATATAAACTGCTGGCAGATACTAGGTAGGTACTACAAAAGCATTGTTTAAGCGGAAGTTTCAACAAACATGGTGATAACTTACGAAGAAAAGATGTTACTAAAGAGTTTAAGAGGGCTAACAGAGCTTTTCTACAACAAAAATTTCAGCGATTATGACTACAACGTCAAGAGTTTTGGTAAAGCAGTTACCGACAATCTTGCCTCTATCGACACAACTGCTTTCTTCAGTGATGACGTTGAAGATGACTACATCGAATTTACTACATCAAAACGGGCTCTGAAGCAATACTCTAATGTGAGTAGTGCAGCATTGGAAGCATGAAGTCAATGCATTTCAGATGATGAGACACGATGCAAAGCAGTTCGCGTGTGCTCGCAAAACATGCGAAACGTCTGGTATGTCAGCTAACAAACGTATATATCTCGACCTCTGCGGCACGGATGCAAAGTAAGTTCGATTAATTTCTTAAAAGACTAAACGAAAATAGTTCTTGAAGAAGCTTATGGCTCAGGCGTTGCGCAGTGGCAAAAGCAGATATACGATAAGAATAATCGGGCTCGGCAAAAGTTGAACCAACGGAATTTCAAGAAGCCCATTTATTTCTAGAAGTTCCCTTCAAACGTCTTCGACCCCACCCGCTCACATAACAAGAAGAAACATAGAAAGAGAAAATAAAATACTAAGGCAAGCATGTTCAACACCGAACGGTTTACTGAGGGGCGTGCCTTGCGATGGGAGCAGAATGCGCCGCCAATGAAAATTTTCGAGGGCCATAAAAAACCTAAGAAAAAGATATGAATTCCTTCTGCTAGTATGCAAGTTTTTGAAAGTGCAGCGTATTTCAAAGAAATATGAAAAATTATGCGAGCAAAAAGTCGGTTTTAGCCCGCACCAAGCTGAAACTGTTCCAGCTGTCGGAAGAAAGTTAAGCACTCCATGTGCTCTCTTCCATGAGTTCTTATAATTCCCATGTGCTCTTTCTCTGAATCTGGGCGTTTGATGTTCAAGTCTGTGTTTGGTCGTCCCATACCAATATACGTGGGTCTTCTTTGAAACCTCTGAAGAAGACAAAGCTGTTGAAACGTGGGATGATAAAGATTTATTGGATTAGTCCGGGCTCGGCCAGAGCCCTTGACTAAGTAATCGATTGAAGGCACCGTCTACCCAAAAAGGGGTTGACGAGATTATGATGGCATACTAATGTGGGACCCACAATAAGCAAACTCTAAGCTGCGCCGCAAAAAATTGCTTCCGAGCAAGAAATCCGCTCCGGATGGGACGTATACAGAGCTGATAACTCCACCCAAGTGGTTGTCCGCTCATTTTGCAGGCTTTTCCTCGCTCGCGCTTGTTGCAGCGGGTTCTCAAAACGGGGATCTGTGGGGTTTCGCGGATTCTCGGCTTCATATTTGAAATCAGGGCCTTTGAAAGGCCTGAAAGCGACAGAAACGTGGAAGTTAAAAATTTGGGTAGACAATGCCCTCAAGTCCTGCCACAAAGAATGAATTTTGAAGCGAGAGATTCCTCCAGAATGTACAAAAATATCCAAGGCTCCGCCCGTCAGCATGGGTCTGAAGATGACAAGTCCGAAGTTGCCTTTCATTTATCCAGATTGTTGTGCATCCGTCTTCATTCTAACCACAGAAGTGGTAGTAATTTGATCGAAATTTTGACACAATGTAATGGTTCAATCATGTTCAAATACTGTTAATCATGATCATTATCTGACGGTCTTTCAATTCAATCGATCGTACTCATGACAAGCAAGTTAGCAGCAGGCTACCGTGAATGTTTTATGCTTGTTTCATTTTAGATCGGACTACGAAGTTTCGTTTAAGTTAGCATCATTGTTTTTTATTAATTGAGTTGTGAAAATAAACTTTTATTTCTTGAGAATAAACTTTTACTTCTTCGCAAACCTGGAACCACCATATCAGTGCTTAGAATGAAAAAGTACCCCTGACAATCTTTTCATTTGAAACAATGATGTGATGGTGTCACAAGTTGAGAGGAGTGAGGAAAATCAGTTTGAAAGCCAAGGACCAGGCATGTTTCGAGCGATAAAATTGTCGCGAGTTGTAGCCGTCGCGAACTCATGGAGACGAAATCGCTGCGACAGTTGCAAATCGCTTTAGTAGGCATACTTTTGCATCTACTAGATCATTCAAACAGTGTTTCGTCTTCTCGATCTTGTTAGATTCGGCCTTTAGAGCTCATTTGACATGGTAGTCACTAAAACACACTAATTTTGCACACACTGTTTGTACTGTTTTCAAAGAGTGGATGTGCGCAAATCAAGTCCTGCAACTGCTGACACTCTACATAGTTCATTCAGTGACCACAAGTAATCTATATATATATAAAACTCAATGTCTGTGAGGATGTTCGTTTAGTTGTTCGTTCGTTATAGAAACGCGCGCCACCGAACCGATTCGGCTGAAACTTCGCACACGTATGTTCTCGACCCCGGCGGTTGTTTAGAGCTACTTTCCGCAGCGATTCGCCGGGCCATTCTATCGATTTATTGATTTGTTTACTCAAACCTAAGAAAATGAAAGGCCATCATGGCAACCGATCATTTCTATATATAAGCATGTAAGCAGGGGCGGTAAGGTCCATTTCAGTCTTTAAGTCGATAGGGTGCGGCAATTGGTCTGAAAGCGCTTTATGCGCATGTTAGAGGAAATCTAAAGGCGTAAGTTTACAAGTTCTGTTGGCTTAACTAACTTGAAGTCTCGGGTGAGACCGGGGCCACCAGCTAGTATAATATAGTCCTTAATTATGGCGGAATTTAGTGAAGCCTTACGCCTTATCTCAGACGGTTTTTTTGTTTTCTACAAAATAGAAAACAAAAAAACCTCAATGGCATTATCTTGCGTTCAAGTCACTCGGTTGACCGCGTCGAAAAGTAAAACCGCACTCTGATCAGACGTCATGTAACTACCGTAAATTCCACAAAATGTCTTCCTAACGTAAATGGATTGTATCAATCGTGACCTCTAGATTAATTTTGAGGTAAGTAACTTCGAAATTTTTGGCACCCGCACACTATGAGAACGCTGGAAATTGTGATTTTGTAAATTTTGATTAGTTTCTAAACAATTTTTTCTAAACAACAAAACTCAAACAACTTTTTTTCTAAAAAATCCTCTAGGAAAGAAGTTTAATATTATTGATATAGTCGCGTCGTAACGCGACATCGCTGAGATTCGGCCAATCGCGACGATTCCATTAAGAGGTGTGATGTATGCTCGGCCCTTTACTATGAGAAGAACTTGTTTACAGCTTAGATAAAGTTGTGCGAAAATACAGGAGTGGGAGACGAACTGCAAATCTGGCAAGATGCAATGACGGCGGTCAGGCACGAAAATGTTTATAACTTCGATCCCCGCCAATGTCACTGCTTTGCTAGATCTTATACTGACCTGACGTCTAGCCATTTCATTGCTTTCGATTGGTCATCTCGTGGTTTCATTGAGAAAATGATGTAGAAGTGCTGGTTACCTCGTGTGATGAAAACTTAGTTACAGTGATAGTTTGAACCAAAATACTAATACCACCTAAGGTTTTTGACATTTTTTCATCTATCCTGGTCCACTTTCGAACTCACTGGCCTGTAGTAAAACCCTCATCGGGCGCAATTTAGGCGGGCCCATGTTAAACGGCTCAGCACATCAATCGCATCCATCTGGTGATTACCCTTTGGTCAGAATTATGTGCGATTTCAAAAAATATCGTTGTTGTGCAGCAGCGTCGAGTGGGTACATCACTTGCTTCTCGAAGAAGATGCCTTGAGGTTCGGGCTTAACTTGTGACATATTTGTCACTTCGAGGGGGGGGGGGGCAATTCTGCTGGCGGCAGCTTCAGATAATCGGTGATGACCGCTTGTAAAAGATTTTGCCTAGCAGAGAGATAACAAGTTCACTATATTTTAACATTAGTGTCATTGATGGCAGAATAGAGTAAACTTGTTTTATTTTTCATGCGAACATAGTTGATAGGTGTCTATTCCTATAACCCAGTTTCAGAATCTTGCTATATTTTGAAACACATTATTGTCGGGGCAGATCAACCAGCTTTTACCGGGGCCCCAAAAATGGGTGCATTGTTAGTTTCATGGGTGTAAGACTCTTGAGATTATGTGCTAGACATACTACATGTTTCTAATTCTATAATTAGGTCTGGAGCTCCGTTTTTGTTATCTACCATTTAGTTTTGTTCTCCTTGAGGTTGGTTGGCCTCATGCGCTTTTTAAACTCTTTTCCTGATTTTTTCTTTGATGCACCTCTTGATGTACTTACAAATAAATAATCTCTATATATTTTATATGCTCTTTGGTCATGAAACCTGGGCATTGTCTTGTAATCATGAATTTTCTTGTGAGCCACGCAGGTTTGTTAAGATATTTATTAGGTCTAACGTTTCGGCAATAATGCCTTCCTCAGAGACCTGGAAGAAAGTCTCACACTAGTTTTTTGCCCTATATGATCAAATCTCTCCTCTTGACAAGCCTAGTTCGATGTTCTAGGAGCAAACAAGCGGAGACATTACACGACAAGTAGCATACCAAGATCTCCACCGACAGTGCAACGACGACGTTTAAACTCCACTGGTGGTAAAAGACTATAGCCGACCGATATGGACAGCTTAAGTAGTAGTGGAGATGATATCTATAAGTGACAGTATGACAGAAATGGCATCAAATCACTTGTGATGGAGAGCTGTTCATTCTTCCCGTTCAGTTTCGGTTCGCGCGAGAGAATGTATGCCGCTTCAAGCGCTTTGCGAGCAGCAATTTTTGACTCATGACCTAGGATGGTGCACCTGATATCGAAGTCGTTGCCGTAATGGTCTACTTTCCTGTGTTTCCCTAGCGGACTGGCCATGCTTTCCCGCCTCTTACTCGCCAAGTGTTCATTAACACGCACGCTGAGTTGCCGACCAGTTTCCCCTATGTGAGTAGCGTGGCATGCCAGACATTCAATCTCGTAGACAATGCCAAACTTAGCACAGTCTCCCATTTTTCCGTTAGGGCAAATGACGCAATCCTTCGTAATACAAGCTGTATCGTATAAACGATTACGCACTAGTTGTCGCTTAATGTTGCTTCGAGGGATATTTACGAGAAGAACATCTTGCTCCAACTGGGCTTGTACTATACACGTTTGAAACGCGTGCTTTACTCTATCGGAAATGAATGGTAAGCATAATGGAATCCTGGCACCAGTTTGGCGATTTTCAGCATTTGCTGTAAACGTTCTAGAATGTCTGGGTTTTGATGAGAAGTAGCCATTGGAGGCTGCTATCTCATTTGCCAGCTCGAGGGACTCCTGCCGTTCACTCTCCCCATTGCAGACTTCGATTGCCGTTTTATACATGTTCCGCAATACTGCTCGCTTAACGGCGACCGGATAGGCCGATTTCGCGTGTAAAATGATGTTCTTCGAGCTCTCTTTGCGATACCATTTCACTCGTATCGTACCGTTATTTAGCATTAGCTGGGTGTTCAGGTAGGGGAGCCAACCGTTTCGGGGTGCTTCTCTGGTAAAACTTATGTACTCTGATTGTTGATTTGAAATCTTGAAACACTTGTCCATTTCGGACTGTGTTAATGTTATAATGCAACAATCGTCAATATATCGACAGTACATAAGTGGGCATCGTGATAGCACCGGTCTTTCTATTCTGCTCATGAAACAGATGGCAAGCGTAGGTGTTAACCTTTGGCCCATTGCCAACCCCCTCAACTGTGAATAGTAAGTGCCTGACCATTTGAAGATATTGCAGTTAAGACATCTCAGTTAAGACATCAGACAATCTCTATATATATAAAGCAGAAAATTTGTGAGTTTGTGTGTTTGTGCACATTCGGGTGCAGGTTGTGCAAGATGTGCAGGTTGTGCAGGTTGTGCAGGTTGTGTAGGTTGTGCAGGGTGTGCAGGGTGTGCAGGTTGTGCAGGTTGTGCAGGGTGTGCAGGTTGTGCAGGTTGTGCAGGGTGTGCAGATTGTGCAGGTTGTGTAGGTTGTGCAGGGTGTGCAGGGTGTGCAAGTTGTGCAGGTTGTGCAGGGTGTGCAGATTGTGCAGGTTGTGCAGGTTGTGTAGGTTGTGCAGGGTGTGCAGGTTGTGCAGGTTGTGCAGGGTGTGCAGGTTGTGCAGGTTGTGCAGGGTGTGAAGGTTGTGCAGGTTGTGCAGGTTGTGTAGGTTGTGCAGGGTGTGCAGGTTGTGCAGGTTGTGCAGGGTGTGCAGGGTGTGCAGGGTTGCAGGGTGGGGAGGGGGTAAGTGAACATGCTGATTCGAATACATTATTGACAGGACCGGGCGGAGCCGGGTTTGCCAGCTCGCGTTTTTCATGGCATTGCGTCACTTTATTTCCCATGAGCTACTCACGATTAGCTTACGGAATTAGTGTTTGATTTTCTGCTTTTGCACACTCTTTCGTCAGTTCAACTTACCGCTTATCTCCGACTTATTGGCATCACTTTGAAGTAGTCATGGCCATGGTTGTTTCAACCTTTCGGAGTTATTTTCTCGCTGCAAAGTCTACGCCGCGAAACGTGAGCGACTATTGTTAGTAGCTTTGCTATTATATAGCATCTGAATCTCTCCACGTTTCTTTCGACAGATTGCTTTCAATAACAAATCAAATCTTGCACATTCTCGAACCTGATTACTCAAGCTTTCTTACCAACCAACAACTTTCCTTAAATGGAAAGGTTACAGTTTATGCTTGGTAGAATTGATGTGCCTTGATTGAGCATCCTGGGTAACCATGAGCAAAAATTTGAAAAGTTTGCGAGGTCTGGCTGCTCTTCATATCAGAGGTGCCGTCGAGACGAATTGGGTGGTGCCATCGAAGTTAGATTTCGTCCGCTCTGAAGCGAGATATGACCACGCCAGGTAACTGCCGCGTTTTTTTTTTACACAAATCATCAGCGGTATTGTAGAATAAACTCAGTCAAAACTTAACATTCTTCACATTTGTAATTCAACGAATAGGTACTTAGTAATATGGTCCCAAACATTTGCTGAATAGTTAGATGGGAACAAGATGGAAGATCGTCTGACAAGGGTTTCATATTCGCAAATTGTTCAACCTTTTGGGGACATATTGTCTTTTGAAAGTATAAACGCAAGTTATTTAGTAACTTCCCAATCAACGCCTTTCGCACTTTGAGCTATCACATCAAAAGAACTAACATCAATACAGATTCGCAGCATAGGCAAATTACCCATCGCTCTCCACCAGGTGTAGGATCACGCCAGCAATTTTCAGCGAAGTAGCAACATTGATAATTAGCTGCATTTTGGAAATTCTGAAATATCTATAAGTGTCGTGTAGTTGCCTCTCATGCTTGCTGTTTTTATCAAAAGAACACATCTTGCGAGGCCATCTGAGTCTCCTTGAAGTTTTGATCATATAAGGAGTTGCTGTTTGGTACCGGAGGATTTCCCTGCGGAAGAACGGCGAATCTTCGGATCATTGATTCTAACCTCCCGGTGAAGAATGCGTGAATAAGGCAGGCGCTTTACTCCTTGAATAGTGTAGCGCTCCCGTCGGGCGACAGCCAGCCGCTACTACTGGCGGTCACCATTCGATGTTGGCCACTCCACATTAGATGTATGTTATTAATTGATGATAATCTGTAAGCGATTGATAGCTATGTAAAGTGCAATTACAAGTATTAGGCCTCGGTCAGCGTTCACACCATTTCATAGCCGCGATTCATCGCGACAAGACAACTCTAGCAATATCATAGCATGCCGATCTTCTTGTACTTCGGTTGTGATAGTTAGTTACGGGTTAGTCGTGTTGGAAAAATATCACAACTAAAATGCAAAAAGATCGGCATACAATGATATTGTTACAGTTGTCTTGTCGCCATGAATCGAAACGATAAAATTTACGTGAGCTCTGCCCGAGGAATTACAGGCTAAGGATCTTCGAAATCGACGACAAAAATCGTCGGTTTTTATTTGTATTTATTTCAAGGCACTCAAAGGTGCGCCAAAAGGAACAGAAGAACGCAGAAATGCAGTAGATGATAGATTTTCAAGCAATTACACACAAATTACGGTAAAAGAAGGCCAAGACGTATGTATGTATATATGTCACATAAAGTAATTTCACCTTAATGCAGTAAGTAATGCGATACATAGTTACATACCTAATTGATACATATCGGTTGGTGCGATGTTAAACTCTTCGAGGAGTATGTTTGCTTGAGTGAGTGAGCGGTGACTGAGTATGGAGAGCTTCAGGACCACTAAGTCTTCTACATGCTGTAAAAGTTTTGCTATTCGGCAGTAAGACCTTACACTCGGATGATTATTGAAAGAACTTTTTAAAGGCAGCGTACGGGCAATTACGACGATGAAGAGAGAAAAGTGCAACAGCGCCTGTCTTAATGAAGCCTTGCTTAAGTGGCGTTGCATTAATTTGTTTCTGAAGCCAGAAAACCGCTTCAGAAGGACTTGTCCGCCCAAAAATCGACAAGCCAAATTGCATGTGTCGCACACAGTTCAAGACCCTACCCCTGCCCGACAATTGTGTGTAATACGTGCCCATATGAATTTAACGATTTTTGAAATGGTCTTAACGCTTACAGGCCGCCTGAATATGGTAAAGCAATTTTTTATTTCGACAAATCTACCACAAGCACAAGAATGACCGTTGTCACCACTACCACCACCGCTGCAGGAGGGCGTGCAGGAGTTCCTAGCACCTTTCTTCGCACCAGGTTCGCACCAGCATTCGCACCCAGAAGGGTTCTAGCACCTCCGCGTCTCAGAGGTCATGCCCCACCCTTTGCTCCACTCATTTACTGGTCTCATTGTGAGGTGTGCAAGCATCGAGAACCTAGAATCGGATATTAAGGTATTAAGGGAGGAAAAATGGAGAAAAGCAAAGAACATAGTTGATATTTCTCATGTGAAGCTTCTGCTACGCCATCACTTTTAGAAGAAATATCCAGAGGATTTTTGAGTAGAAACCGGTCATTCGAAGTATTCGAATCTGTTCGATTGTTTGTAAATCACTGGTCTCTGTTTGAAGTAATTTAGCATTAGCAGTTTTGAATGACTGAGTGAAAGACGTGGTTAAGACTCCGATTACCTTTTCAACATTGAAAGGATTTATTTTGAAAGGAGTATATCAAATTTTCGAAAAGCCAACTTGAAGCTTTCTGCAGTAGTTAGGAAATTTGTTTTCCTACTTTCGTCTGCCCTCAAATATTTGAAAGATTTTCATTCCAGTTACTCTACAATAATATCCAAATTATCAAAAAGAAATTTCCAATGTAGAAAGTCTTACAATCGATGTATTAAAATACCAGACTTCCGTCGTATGTGTGATTGAAGAGTTGCCTAAGAGTTCCAAACACACTAAATCTGCAAGGTATTCTAATTCGCTATATTCATGGATGAATTTTAGAACTTGCATGAAATTGACTAACTTTTGAACTTCTGACATAACTTCTGCTTGATTTATATCAACACGATATGCATCAGAAACTTGATTAAGCGCGAGCACTTAAGTTCCTAGGGAAGCTTCATTTCTTATAAAAACATGAGGAGTATTAGCTCGAAATGCTGGAGATTCAGCTGCAGTCATCTACGGATTCTAAAGTTTTATAGAAAATAACAAAGTTTTTCTTTCAGTTTCAGGTCTATTGTCCTCAAAAACTTTCAACCACGTCTTACACTGCTTGTACACAGTTCAAAATGAGGACACCCAAAGGGAGGAGCGATGGGCGGAGCCGCTCTTTGACCCCGAGAAGGTGTGATGTCCTTCAAGGGATTTTGGAGGTGTCAAGTACCCCTGCGAGGAAAAGCGGCTAGGCTTTGGGAACTCCTGCCACGCCGCCACCGCTGCACATACCACTACTGCACATACCACCACTGCAGACACCACCACTGTACAGACCACTACTGCGCCCACCAGCATGACACCTGCAGCAGCTGCTACCACTAAACTCACTAGCACGACAGCTAAAGGCTCAACAGGCACACTTTGCCCTACAGCATCAACAACTCCTTGCCCGAAATATTCCTCCACCACACGGTGCCGCACATATCCACCGAAGAGAGCAAAAAGAGAGGCAAAGATTGCAGATGCGGCCATCTTTGTGAAAAAAGCAAAATTCCCCAAAGCTGCATCAGGTAAATATTTCTGTACTGTTCTTATAGTAGCTGTCCTATGTTAAAATGCTGAAAAAGCAATGTTTTAATGGAGAAATACCCAGAGCAATAATCTTTTAGCTACATTTATACAGTGTAATTGCTAGAGCATGAGCCTCCAAACAAGTTCTCATTGTCAAAAACCAAATGAGAATCACACTGTCGTAAAACTAGAATTCATATAGTTTGCTGCAATTTTCTAGAACTTGCCCTTTTCCTTCAGTCAGAAAATGTTCCAAACGTCTTTCTCCATGCATAATCACGATAATCTCGTCAAACGTTGATTTCAGTTCTAATTGTGCGATTTTCTAAGAAATCAAGTGATCTAAACTTTTACTCACTATTTCTTTGTCATTCTAGTTTCGGGGAAAATTAGTAAAAAAAAATTTGCGCGTGTTGTTACATGACGTTTATAGATAAATGGATAATGAATACACGTGGACAATTGATATATGATAAATTAATTATCTCCCATAAAGTCCATTTAGTTTTGTAGTTCATGCATTTTAGGTGAGAATACAATCTGTTCCAGCAATGAAGGAATGATGGACTCGTTGAGAACGCTTTTCCTTGACATGCATAATTATCGCAGGTAGCTTTGTCCGATTTCTTCAATTTGCAGCTGAACAGCCACTATTTCAGGGCTAAGCTAGCTTTAGGAAAAGTTACTGGTTATAACAGTAAGCGCATGCCACCAGCAAGAAATATGTTAAAATTGATGGGTAGTTGATGGGTAATTTAGCTAAAAAATAAGAATCCTTGTCAGAGTTATGCCTGCAAGTTGGAAGCATCGGCTCTGCGCTATGCTGCTCACTGCCCATCAATGAGATCTAAAGCAAGTGCTAGGCCGAATCAAGGAGAAAATTTTCGCGTCTTGCGAAAGTTGGATTTCCAGATTTCGCAGATGCAGTCAACATGGTAATTAGACATGGTAATTAGAACAGTGAGTCTGAGACAATCTCAACATTATTCGTCAGACTCAACTGGTGGGATGTTGTCAGAGATACCCCCCGCATTGACAAGAATGCAAAACTTCAAACTCGTCGATCTCCTATAGCAACTTTTACGCAAGTAATCTTGTTAATACATTGGGTTTGCACAAAAGTTTTGTTACACTATTTTTGAAATTGATAACTTCTTGCCTTCTCCAATTTGAGTGTTCTTACTTTTATTGAAAAGAGTGAGTCACGCTCTCATGAGCTGTATTAGAGGCCTTTTAATGGGCTCGATTGCCTAGATAGAAGCGGTAGAAGAAATTCAGATTTCGACTCTTCTGTATTTGGTCGTATTATCTGGAATTTGCAGTAGAAATTTTTAGCAGTGGGTATTCCAGCTACTATCACCTGCTCCATCTGATTGAGCAATATTTCTGAGAATTGCACGATTTCATGGAAAGTTACGATATACGAAAAATGCCATAAATCAAATTCGCTCTTTTGTACTGGTTGCTTCAGAATCATAACATCTTACAGAGACATACAATCTGTGCAAATTTTGCTCACTCAGAAAAGGCAGGTGATATAGGTCGTCCGCGCTGGCCGCGGAGAGTGCGCAAGGTGTGTATTGCGCGTCACTCCTCTTTCCCCGTGCACTCTCGCCGCCTTATTTTCTCTGCGCCCGTACTATCTTCACTGTACGCGACAGCGTTGCTCTCCGCGCGCGGCGCGGACGGCCTATAAAAGGCAGGTGTAACGCCGGCTGTTCCGATTTTTGCACGCCCAAAGTTTTTACGGCGAAACAGAAAATCAAAATCTAAGTAAATACTTACCGCTTTTATCTATGCAATTTGTGCTCAGTAAGAAACAGCTAAAATACTTTAACAAAAACGTGACATACTTATTCAAATAAAGATAGATACAAGCAAATGGGAGAAGAATAGTGCCTCCTCAATAGACATTCGTAGAATTAGAAAGAGACATAGTTAATAATGTTCACAGATGGCATGGGCGACAACAAGATATTTGGGCTGGCTGTGCTATAGCTGACTGCAATTCGTACTATGTATCTATCCGTAGATACTCCCCGAAGTAAGTTTAATTACTTGAATATTTTCATCAGATAAACGTATTTGCAGAGCAAATGCCACTGGAGAAATGATTTACAAGCCTGGTCACACTTGCACAGAATGCAAGCCTGGTACAACATGCGAAGAAGAATTGGGGCTATGTGTTTAAGACACTGACAGATCAAGCAACAAAATCTATTTTTTGACTATTTTTTATGATACCCCTTTGCCTGCATTTTGTTCAGTATGATGGGAATTATTTGGGTGAATCAAAAATAATAAGAACTTTTCATCCATCCTTTTAGAGTCATCCGTAAATGGGTGAAATAACCATAGCCAAGTACAGTTCACGGTTTTCGTCGCCGTTTTTTGTTCCTGTTCATCAGCTACATATGCTACTGCACTTATTCAATCATCATTTTTGTGTTGTGTAAATTTAGTCAATGTTGAATTCAAGAGAGGTACAATGAAATGAGACTCATATAAAGCATACCTTTTTAAATGCAAATCAAGTCTTCCCTTGGCCTCTTCGAGCTAGCATTTTTTAGAAGTTTCCAAGGAATAGGCGAATGCACGCAAAGATAGAGCGTCATTACGGACGCTGTCGGCGTCTCCCTGATTGAGCGCTCGTTCACCCTTTTGCCGTCTGCTGTCTCTCCCATAAACAGACTATCTTGATCGAATGCAACAGCTTCCAGTCTGTGCGACGATGAATCGCCTATACTCATTTCATAAAACTGTGTATACATAATTTCATTGAATATAAGAAGGCCTGAAATCCGGAGGACTCAATCGATTATGATGAAATCTCACTTGCAAAATAACTGCTTGTTTGAAGAAATAATTTTTGGTACATTCATGCGCACCTGTTAGACTATTGAGTCAAACATTCGGAAAGTCTCAAAAATCTCAAAATTTTGCGCTTGTTCCTGCGGTCCTAGAAAGTTTAGAGAAGTTTGCTGAAGAAGAAAAAAAAGCTGTTTCGTCGTTCAATATGCTTTTCTACAATTATTCTTAGTAAATTCTCATCACTTTTGACTAACCCTGGTACTTCTCAGTTCAGTAAACTACAACAACGCTCTTAATTTGCAAAAAAAGACGCAGAGTCATCCAATTCATGTGGCATCATCGTAGGACCATATATCTTGCTTCAAAGTGGATGAATTCTCAAACCAAGGGTACCATTCGACTCAGTTAGGCGCGGCGCATCTTTTAATATAGAAGAGTGCATATTTGGACAGAGTAAGAGGCCAGATTCTAAGAATCGTTCCAGATCTTTGTTTACGGTAGGTTACTCAGTGTGCTAATTCATTGCACTTACTGGGCAACCTACTGTAAGCAAAATTCTGAAATGATTCGTGAAATCTGCATTCTGCTGTATCCAATTGAGCACCTCTAAACATCAAAAGTTGCGCCGCGCCAAGCGAATCGAATAGTGTTCCTTGGACTGAGAATTCGTCTACTCTGAAGCGAAATATGGCCACGCTGCGGTGATGTTACATGAATCGGGCGAGTGCGCATTTTTTTCTCACAAATTACGGGCGGTATCGTAACATACTCAGAAAAGATCAACACAGCTTTGATCCCGTGCAAATAAGGGTTTTTTTGCTTTAGTTCATTTGTACACAGTGATGGCTGTACCCTGTTGGAATGTGAATAAAAGTTACAGCATGGATTTGGTTGCACATGTTTGTCCTTCCAAAAGCAAATCCTATCGGTCGGCTGCCTGAATCAGTTTACATATCTTGAATAATCATTGTATGCCAAGTACTTATTCATTCACCTGATAGCGCATATAAAATGCGTTGAAAAGTTTAAAGTAAACACTACACTGGTTACAGCCTGAATGGAAGATTTGCCAAATTACATTTTACTGAAGAAGAAGACTGGCTCATCGAAAATGAAGGGACCTAAAGCTTTAGACGCTTCTCATTGATTATTACATTTCAACATCATAAAATCATCAATGTTACCACCAAAATGAATGAGTATCGTAATAGGTTGCCAGTGGCCAAAAAATGTGTTTAAATTTAAAAAAGCGACTTATTATTTACATAACTTAATGGGGTCGTTTCCAAAAGGTTCACACTAGTCAACAGAGCTTCACATCCATTAAAATAAAATTTTCAAAGTGATCTTACTGCAATCGATGCAAAACTAATTCCTCTTTCTACAAATTATGTTCTCAGTAGACCTCCTAAGCTTTTCAAAAAATGCTGTATTTTTCAATTGTTCCTGCTACCACGCCAAAATTTGACTATTTGTATATTTTCATTACACACTTTTCGCAAAGATCAAGTGACGCGCAGATAGAGCGAATTTAACAGTATTGGTTGCTTCATTGCACTAATAATTAGTCGTTTTTTTTTCAATTTACAGAAACATTTTTTCGAAAAACTTTCGTGACATCAATTGACATCATTTTCAACCAATTTGTCGCGCTTACCGGGAGGGATGCAGGGACAGGTTCACTGGAGTCAAACTGGATGTTATTTCTAGGAACAAGTGGCAAATGGGATGCCGTAGAAATGCTGTACATTTATAATCCATCACACCTAACCTTCAGAAGTGCTCACACGCTTTATCATCAAGTTCGTACATGATTAATACGTTCCAACATGTTGTTTATCACAAGCGCGCCAAATTTGAAATGTAAACAGATAAACAAATTGCTTACCTCGCAAAGTTAACTTTATGACCCCAGATTTGAAGTAAATTATTACAACATCACTCCCAACCAATATGTGAAAAATTTCAGAAACTTAAATGTCCTTATACTTGTTTCACTCCTTACTTTGCTCGCGAAGGGTCTTAGCTTTGACTTACACCACCAAAGGGATTGAATAAGAAGACCTGGTGGAAGAAACCGTGGCTGGGTCTACCAAATTTTTTGGAGGAGAAGTCGGAGAGCAGCATAATGACGTTACGAACACCTGCGCCCGACTGGCAGGATGAACAATGGATCCTCATCAGTGAAGATGAACTGCTTATCCATCAGTAGAATCATCGCGTTTTTATTGCTTTGACCGCTGAGGATGAATAGATGTAAATGGACTTGATGGGTTTACCCATCACAAGCCGACTGGATTGGTTCGGAGCAATAAATATCGAAGAGTTCACGTTTTGCACTTTTTGGCTTGGACCGTTTGAGACTTCAAAAAAATTGGCCCGTAGTAAAGCTCGGTCATGGGAGATGATCTCCCCTGAGGCCCTCATATGAGGCTTTGTCGGATGAGATGAGGACTACCCACTTTTCCGTGGTGTAAATATGCAAGGTCACCCTACAGGTGAGCTTCAGATGAAGCCCGGCAGGGAGATCAGCTCCCTACCGAGTCATCGAAGATGAGCCGGGCGACGACATAAGTTAAATACTGTGCTAAAGAGGAGAGCACAGAGAAAACCTCCTTAAGTTGCTCCCGAGTAACTTACGAAACACCGCAGTTGACGTTCCTTTGCGGTGCCACACTCCCAAAACTGCACAATCTCGGGCGCCCAGGTGAGTGAGGATCGATGAACAGCTGATTGCGCGACGAAATCGGCAAAAAGTTTTTTTTTGCATTTTTCTTGCAGTTGTTGCTCGTTTTTCTCAAAAAACCGCTCCAGATGACAAAAAGGTAAAACTACCTTTCTAACCATTTTTCGCCAAGTGTGATTTTTCCTCGTATGAAGGCCAAAATATTGTGTAATTGTTTTATCTCGTTGCGTTATCTCGTTGCTTGCCTGGTAAAATCTCTACTAGCGGTTATCATCGATTTTTTCGACAGCGGCCGCTATCAAAGGTCGCCAGGCCAAGTAGCAAAAATTGTGCCGCTAGCCGCACTCGAACCACGGCTCTGCCGTTTGAAACGCTTTAGTCTTATCCATTTGACTAGTAATGCGCAAATGGCAGAAACGTTCCACCTTTAAAAACGCGAACGTCCAGAAAGTGGTCTGCTCCAAATCAATCGCTCCCCTGGCAATTGAGGCGCGATGAGAACAACTCCGGTCCGCCTCAAGAGAGATGCCCTGATGGGGGTTTACTACGGGCCTATCTTAATTAAAGAGATTGACTCAAATCATTGCTACCCCTCATTTTGGGCCGTTAATGTTGGGCTGGTACAAAGGTAATGGGCGTTTCTTATCCTGCTGTGGCATACAGTTCAGTGAAATGTGAAAATTCTCGGCGAGTTCGGCGAAGTTTTTCACATTCCACTGTCATAACTGTATGGCAGTGCCATAGCTGTGGAAAATCCTTGTAGATCACTTCAGCATGAAGGTTTGGATGGAAAAATTCACATGGCGTTTCTAATGTTCATTTGCTAACAGCAGATGAAAAAATTACCGTTTTATCTGTTTATCAGCCAGATACAATACCACCCACATAACTTGCAAAATTTCCTTGAATGTCGCGAAATTCCGAAAATTCCGCGGAATTCCCGGTTTTCCGCAAAATTCCAGTCGTGAAGTTTCGCGAAATTCCCGGAATTTCCCGGAAAGTTCGAATCGCGACATTCAAGGAAATTTTGCATATCCTGTGGGCAGTACTGTAATTGAGAGCCGGAAGTGCGAGATTTGCTAATCAAGGCGCGAGATTGACCTCATATCATTCCGATTAGCGCTGACAAGCAAATGCTAAATAGTCATTTATATGCATCTTTGTAAGCTTTTTCTTTCTATAAAAAGAGCGAAATTTAAGCTTTTGTGTAGGTGAGGGTTTATAAAGTAGACAAAATACATTTTTATGCATATCTTTGTGAAAGATGGGGACGGAATGCCCGGATACCCGTAATTCTGTTTCTATTCGAAGGGGCTATTTCATGAAATTTACAGAAAAATCGGAGGTTGAATATGCAAGGAGCTGATCTAAGAACGGTCCCGGACTTTTAAATTTTCTGAGGAGCTTTATGATAGATCAAGATAAAATAATAATTCCACGAGAATGATCAAGGCGCTGGCATAGCAGTAGTTCGGGGCAACTCTTGATGCGTTATCAAAAGAAAGTTGGGCAGTAGCATGAATGTAGAGGGGAGCTGCCCTACAGTATCTGAAGATTCTGGATTAGTATCTGGAGGTTTTTCTTGATTTAATCTTTGATCTCTATACATAAATCGGTCAGTAGTGCTTCATTGGTAGTTCGTGACGGGTTAGTGGCCCAGGCATGGATGGGTTGGAATGTGAAGGTGGGGGAGAAGTGGGCGGAGATTTGGGTGGGGGGGGGGGACGCGCGGAAGGCGACAATGCGCGCAAAATGCAAGCAGTGTAGAACCTCTTGCTAAGTTTTACACAATTTCACTTGTGGCATAGAGTCATGTATTTGCCCCCCTCTCCACCCCCCCCCCCCTACCTTGGCGCCGTGTCACTTTAGCAACAGAGTTTTGAGACGCACAAAATTGAGGATTGTCGCCTTTTGCACCACGCCCCTTGGGTGTGCGGGGGGGGGGAGTCCAAAAGTGGGAGGAGCTAGCAAATTTCGAAGAAACACATTTCTTCAAAATCTATCCACCGTAGTCCTACAGAAAGAAGCTATCTCGCTAATCAGATGTGTTATTTGTAATCAAAGGGTCGGATAACATCTATGGTCCAATTTTTTAAGGATTGGCCCTGGCGGATTTTGTCAAAATATTGAGATTTTCGGATTGACCGGAAACTTCGCTCATAGTGATTTTTGGTCCCGATCTTTACGAAAATCCTAGCTATTTTGCACTAGAGATTCTTACAGTAAAGCTAAAATGAGATGGAAGTAAACCCATCAAGATCGTAAATTCGCCTGCACTTTTTGCCTATCTATTGCAGAAATTGTCTGCATATTTTTGTAAGTTCAAAACTTAGTGATACCTCTACCGGATCATGCTTAGCACAGATCTTTATCTGCATTGGTCGTCAAATTATGATGCTACAGAATTGCCTTCTCATGAATTGTTTTTCAAACTCGAAAGTCGTGTAATTTCGGAGATATTCCAAAAGATTTGCTTTAAACATGCATTCGAACAGTTATGACTTTGAAATTTGAAAGTTTTCGGCGAATTCGACGATGTCGGCGAGTTCGGCAAAGTCGGCGAAAAACGCAAAGTCGCCGACTTCACCAACACCGCCGAGAATTTCAACATTCCAATGTCATAACTGTAAAAGAAGCAAAAATGTATGAAACACGTTAATCAATAGAGTAATCCATCAAAGCAGAAATGAAACCTGCGAACTTTGAAAAAACTAAACTTCCAGATACCCGAAAACAAATTTTTGTCCAGAAAGTACTACGAACCTCTAACTCGCTCAAAGAGTTATATGCATTGGCCACTCATAGCTACACTTGCTGTAATTTTTCGCGGCTAGAAATTGAAATTGAAAATTGGCAAACTTCAGCAAAAGAAACCCATCAACACACGTCCATTTTGAATCGGTTTTGAGGGGACAGTCCAACATTACGTTGGACTGTCCCGACATATGTATAATGCTGATGCATAACCCTTGCATCAAAATGAGTACTAGCCTAGCTTTGAATTGCGTGAAGTTTGACAAAAAAAGTGAAACAATCCACCTCAAAAATCGGAATTAATTTCTAATTTCCTCTTTTAGACCATTTCGTCAAAACCGATTCAAAATGGACGTGTGTTGGTGGGTTTCTTTGCCGAAAATGGCATCTGACAGTGCGAGCACGTGACCTCACCTGCACCTCACCACTACTTTTGTGGTTCAAGTTTGTAGCTCACGGATTGACTACTGGCTTGCAGCCACTAGTCAATCTGTGAGCCTATATTCGAATTCAAAGAGCGATCACCAAAAGACTGAAATTCACAGCTCAGGGCGGACGCAACTCAAAGGCAGTTTCATCGGGGGATGAGTAAAGTGAAGCCATGGAACTGGTAATGTTTATTGAATTCATTGCTTAATCTTTATATTGCAATAGTTATCGCCAATCATAGGTACACTCCGCACACAAATCAGCTAACATTTTCAACGTAAAGAGAATGTATGGCAATTTGGAGCACAGTAATCATAGCAAACCCACATTTGCATGTGTCATACCGATTAGTGAGCAAGTTTTGTAAGCACTGCGCGCACTCCTTCTATTCTTCTATGAGTTCCACCAGATGTTGGTTTTGTGGCAAATGGAAGTGGCGAAGCAGATTCAGTCGAAATATTTCTTCATAACTGGCATTCCGCATCGACAGCTTGCGTAAAGAGCGGCGCCTAGTAGAAACATTCCATACCGGTTTCGAAGTTTTAACCTGCGCCACTGATGTTTTCTGCGACGCGTATTCCTTGATGAAAATGTCATTACATGTTCTATCTGTTTGTTAGTTATGTTTACCTCGCTTGTAGTAAAAGATGTACGATTTGTAAGGGTTGGGTAATTGGTATTTCGTGCAGTCACTGCTCTCGAAAACTCGCGCCAGGGCCACTCAGAAGTGATCCACCATGGCACATAAGAACCTGTTGTTACTGACGTCCATGTAGCAGGGGTATCACTGACGGTAGTGGTAGTGGAAATAAAAGTTTGAATGGCTTCAGTAGTAGAAAAGGTGATAGCAGTAGACTTCGTAGCGGCATTAGTAGTAGAAGAGGTGACAGTAGTGGATTTCGCTGGAAATGTGTACCCGGTAAATGATGCTTGTGACCTCAACGTTTGCGTTTTTATGTAATTGTTTGATGTATAAAGTATATTATGGTACTATTTGCTGCCCCTGTTGGCCCTTGTCATCTCAAAATCAAAATCTCTCTTTTTTAGTCTATTGGGCGAGGGGGAATTTTATTAGCTTGCCGAAACCAAAAATGGGGAATTGCTCCAAGTGCTTTTATCAGACTTCACCTACATTTCCAAGCTATTACGTAAAAAAGGTATAATATAAAGCGAAAGACATAAAAATACACAAGAGACAGTATTTTATAACGTAAAACAAGCTATACAAGACCGACCGTCATAGATTTGGGAAAACCAACTGGTAAGGTTGAACGAAACTTGCCAATCGGCAGACATAAACAGTTTGATGACAATTCTCCAAGTTAGCTCTCCCCCCCCCCCCCCACCCCTTCGAGTGCTCGCCTATCCTTGCGATCCATCCGATCATGAAGTAATACGAAGCAAAATTTCCGGAGAATTCGGTCCGCGGGTTCTGCGGAACGGAGTTTGTCGGGGTTTTCGCGGATTTTCGTCTTGATATTCGAATTAGAGACATGAGAAGGCCCCGGAATGAAAAAACATGGATGTCGAGAACTTGGGTGAACGATGCCTTCAAAGGAGCCTCCAGACCGCGCTAGTTGTGGCTTTTGCTGCGTAGGTGCACTGGGACAGATTATGTCTACGGGACGCTCATGAGCAACCTATTCGCTGTGAAATGATGTTTTAGGTTTTTCGAACTTTCTCGTTGCAGGTCTTTCGTTTTGGTTGTTCTTCTGAGTTGTAATAAACAGTTTCGTTTCAGAACAAGATTTTTTGATTTCACTTGCATTTTGTCACCGTTTTACTGCGCTAAAGTGATTCATTTGTTGCCAAAAGGATTCATCTAGATTATCTTTAGTTTCAAAGCTACTTGTCCATGCCAAATAAGCAAGCCTTTACCAAACGAGGTTTTCTTATTTAACTTTTCTTTCTGAACTACTCTCCTATATAACAATTCGCTATCAAATGAGGTTTTTTTTATATATTTTCATTCCGAAGCTATTCCATTGGCTACATTGAAGTACTAGGCAGTTCCGAAAGCTCTGTCCCATTTGCAGATTCATAATGTTAAGATTTTTCAAGATTTTTTTGCAGATTCAAAACTCAAAGATTTTTTATTTTTTCTAAACTTTGCTGGACTAAGCGAGCTTACGGTTAATTTGAATATAACTAGTATGCTATGTGGAAAAGGCAAATGATAGAAAAGAGGAAATTTGAAGAATTCTGCAAGGTTTCCTTCAAGACCTATTATGAGATATTAATGCTCCCACATGAGTAAAGGCAGACAGATTTGACTGCATCATTGAAAAGCCTATACTTCAGAGACTATTTTATGGCCAGAGAATATTCGTTGTCTCTGCCGCACAGAAATTTTTAGAGCAAAACATAAAAGCCACTATTTGAGCACTCCTCCGTAGGCGTACTACGCCAACTTTTCATATTTAATTTTTCTTGCTGTCGCGAATGAAAAAAATCAATTGGCTATTGGTTCAGGCTGCTCTCTCTTTACTCTAACATGTTGTTACTGGATACATCACTCGTTATACGTAGATTGTTGTCGCTTGCAGAACAGCTGAGTTTATCAGCGGTTTGTGAAGACGAATTTGTAAAGTATGACATTTTCTAGCTGGAAGTGAAAGGGTGCATATTAGCTCATTACACATTTAACTTCGGGAGTAATTTTATCCTAGGAAGTGGTGTACTAGTAAGTGTTGAAAAGAACAGGGGAAATGACTATAGCTGATGGTTATGATAGTGCAGTGAGTGCAAATGAGAAAACAGCTACAGAACTATCGACAGGACTTCCCGACGGCCTGGTATATCCCACAGAATGACGTTTTTTTAGATCTAACTCTCGATTGAGACTACTGAACAATGGCGTGTGAGAGATGTGAAACAAGCTTTTCTGGTACTTTCTTTGGTTCATAGCTGTTCTACTATGCTGTCTGAACGATATGATTTTCTTCGTTTTTTGGGAGCACTTTATGTTGAATTGTGATTTACTTATGAGAATGTATTCTTCAATTTGAGCTATCATACTACGCTTTAGTAGTCGGATCATTGCCAAGCAAATGTTCTAACGGATGTTAGATAAAATCTCATTTTCCTGAAATAGCGCTCAATCAGCATGACATACCAACTTCAAAACGAAAGCTGTAACGGAGGAATGTTCGTACTGTTGAGTTACGTTTAATACCGTCAGTAAAGAAGCCTTAAAATAAAAGATAGTTCAACGTTACTTCTGCAAAATCATCTTCTATACAACATGTAGCTCGAAAGGGAAAGACACACTGAAGTAACCTCGTTGATCAACAACTGCTATTCTTTAGCTCATTGGATTAGCCTCAAAACAAAAGGAAGTTATTAGAAACGTTTTAAAAAACTTGTTTACAACAACGTAAGAGAGTAGCCGCAACGAAAGACCTGCAATAAAAAGATTTAAAAACTCTCAGGCCATTATTTTAAAGCAGAAGTTTGACCCATAGATGTAATGTAACAAGATACGCTTCGGCTGCAAAAGCGAGAACCGATGCTGTCTGGATGCGCCTTAAAAGAGCCTTCAGGCCGCCGGTTGCCGCCTTTGCAGCCGGTAGCTGCTTTTGCGCAGGTTGCCGCTTCTGCGTTGGGTCAGGTTTCGTCTATGGTGCGCGTAAGAGGACTTGATCCTACTAGTGCTTACTTGCCGCGTTTCTCAGATTCTTTCGTCGCTACTCTTTCGTTTTGGCTGTTATGTTCATGTCGTAGTAAAAATTTTGTCTGGGTTGAGGTTTCTTTTCGAGTCGGGTGATTTATAAGCACTGCCTGAGGAAGCTGTTTTTAAATCCTCCCGCTATGGAAGTGTTCGTCTATGGCGAAGTTAGCAAACAATTGCTATACAGAGTTTTCTCAGTTTTCATTTTTAGGTTATTCTTTTGCCCTAGTCAACCGATTTTTTGACGGTCTTGTAAAGTTTGCCTTTCGTTTTAAACTATGTATTATCTGCATTGAGCTAAACTTTCACAACAGGTCGTTTTGATCCAGTTTTCGTTTTGACGATATTGCTGTGGTGGGCGAGACAGCGTAACAAGGTGTTTTGATGTCTTTCTTGTCTTGAAGCTGATCTATAATACTATGGGGCGTAACATACGGAACAATGTTTTTTCGTATTTTCTTTGTTAATGGAACTGTTCCACTAGCTATAGGAGTAGAACAGCTTCAAAATCAAAGTGTGGACAGAAAAGCCAAAACTCTTTTGTGCTGGGTTTTGTTTGGTGAGGGAAACATTTCGCAATGAGAACGCTCATCCAGAGTAGACGAGCCTCAAGACGGAACAGACACCAGAAAGGCTTGCTTCGCAAGCATACAGCTCAATTAGCGTAGCAGTACCAACGAACGGAAGCTGCATTGAGACAACTCTGCGAGGATGTAGCTAACCAATAGTAGTGACACGACTTTAGAATGGAATAAAAACCTTATTTACCGAAATCGATTTACTAGCATTGAAGAATAGACTGAAAGTGAAAATTGGACAGGTATATAAACTCCGTTCAACAATGGTTTGCTCACTTTGGCGTACACGATTAACTGTTTCACTCTATGCTCTATAGTGATGCAAGCAAAAGAAACCTTTTTGAAACAAAATAGTTTACTACAACTTAAACAGAATATTCACAACAAAAGAATCTGAGAAACCCGGCAAGTATCCACCAGTACGACCACGTCCCCTTACGCGCACCATAGACCAAATCTGACTCAAAGCGCTTCGGCTGCAGAAGCGGCAACCGGCGCAAAAGCGGCAACCGCGGGGTCTGGAGGTTTCTTAAGGCGTGTGTGTACGCTCATGTAAATGTATATTACAATTGCTTTTTTTATCCATAAAATCGAAGCTTGCATTTACCACTCTCGTATTGGGCCCTGCAGATAACTTCTGTATATTTTTTGCTCTAATAAACTAGTGGAGTGCCTAAGAAGTGTAAACTGACAATCAGTTGCAATGATATAGAGTGCCTCCACTTTTTTTAGATACATTTGAAATCTGCTGAGCAAAAGGTAAATTTCTTGGACGGAGTATGTAGGACGGAGTACGTACAAATACGTGCAGAACAAGGGTCTTGCCACACGATAACGATGGGTTACGCTTTTAGAAGGAGAAAAATGCTATCTCTAGTAATTTTAACGGAAGATTACTCAAAGACAAAGCGTCTGCGCCAATTTTTATCCGCGTCATCTGTCAGATTACTTTCCACCACTTTTTCTGACCTTGTGAACATCAATACACCGTGTTATTCAGAGGAAGTTATTTGGAAAGACAAGTTCTAACAAATGATATGAATTTTCTTACCATTGTCGCTCTTCTTTGACAAATGCACAGAAAACATCACAATTAGAGCAATGATCGCACAAAGTATCAGAACCAGTGTAATTTGTATGAGTATCAGTTGTATAAACACTGCAGACCGTTGCGGTTCAGCTAGAATTCAAAATTCAAAACACGGTTTGTTATTTGTAAAGTTCGCACTGGAAACTTGGAAATTGATATAAATTATCAAGCATGCTGGCCCCAATGGGATGTTCAAAAGCAAGCATGTAGTATGTAAAGCTGGACGTCCTTTTGCTTGTATGCACGTCCGTATGTGGGCTCCCTATATCTGTCGTAGCAGTAGCTGACCGAGCCTTCCCCCTTCCCTTTCTCCCCGAGAATAGATTGCAAAATTCTTGAAATCCACTTTACTAAGGCACGGAGATATCATAGTGTAGTACTGACGGAGTCGGGTGGAACCAGATATGCCAGTCACGAATATAACGATCATTTGTAGAATTGAGCCGAAATAAAAGCTCAAAGCATTCGTAATTTGAAAGCCACGACGTGATGTTTGAAAAAGGAGAAACATTAGTCGTTTGCAAAAAATGCATTCCTATTTTAATTTTCTTCAGTTTCATTCCTATTTCAATTTCAGTTTCACATTGTGCGATATATCCTCCCACTTTCGCCCAGTGAACATGTGTCCAGCTTGGTTGAGATGATCGCTGGTTCATTTTTCAACTAAGGAGGTTGACCTCGAACAAAGCAACGTCGCCCAACTGTGCCTCGTGAAGATCAGTTAATCGCTTGTTAGGGTTAAAACTCACCCTCAAGGATATTGTTTACCCTCAGGGTACCGACAAATGAATACAGCCATAGGTCAAATGCTTTACTCGATTAAAGTTACTGATCGGAAAGATGCACGTCGTATGCGACAAGTGTCAAGCCAAAAATTTGAAGCTGATTTTTTTGGCGTGTTCTGCTTTAGCGACAAAGTCAACTCTCCAGAAGCCTAAGGTGCTTCGCTCATGTCCGACACAACAGCTGTGTCCAGCATTTCTTGCAGAGCAGCAGAAAGTTTCCTACCTCCGTAATGTTTATTTGGCATTACAGCCATTACCGCATTCGTTAAAGTCCGCTTCATGCCATCGTTCAAGGTGTAGGGCCAGATTATCATAGAGCTGAATCTCTGCTTTCTTATGGCAATGGTAGCCACAAGTTTTTGCAGCTTCACTTCGTCTACGACGAGCAACTGCAAGCAAGGTTACGGTGTCATCAGTGGCACATCGCATTCATGTGCAGCCCAACGTGGACAGAAATTACAAAGAGCTCTCTAGTAAAACGTATTCTGAGGGCGTATTCTGACAGCCACAACATCACGACGAGAGTCTTTAAACAAAACTTTGAAGCTTATAAACATGCTAAGCAATGTAGACACTGGATGGATAGTCGTATAACTTGTAACTTGCCCAGACTAGAGTGATAGCACCTTCTCGATGGAGCTTTTCAAGCAAGAAGAGATCATTTTCTATCTGATGGTCGTCAAAAACATGACTCCTGGGCCATGCGGACTATCGAACTTGAGGTCACTTTGAGTGAAAGAAGGCAGGTGCACCAAAAGGAGATAAAGGCAATTTATCCGAGAAACCCAAATGAGATTCGATGGTCATCCTCTGTACAAAAGGCGGAAGTGTTGATGGAGGACATTCCCACAACAAAATGTAGATGGACCATCAGACTGTAGAAGTAGCAATGGACAACAGCTGTGTTGTGTCATACACTTCCTTACTATCAAAAATGTTTCGAGCACATGTCAATATGTAATAGCTATCGATGAAGTCGATCAAGTACAGCTATGTGTGAACAGGGAGTGACAAGACAACTTTCCGCTTTAACTATGTACTGCACCATTTGAGATTAAGTATTATGGCGGACAGTTACATAAGCAGCGAGATGGTCTGAAGCATTCCGAGTTTTAATTGGCGAACATTACCCACTCGTCACCTACCTACATGTCATTTGAAGAGTAGACAAGGCTGTTACCTCACTTTACTACCGCTAATGACTACTCAAATAACCCTGACTCCCTACCTTCTACGCCAGCATGAATCGCTTGTAACGTTGTTGTACAAAGAGGTTTTGAAATAACACTTTACTTGAAACAGGTCAGAAGTGAATTTAAAAAAAGCAAGGTGCTGGAGTTCCAGCACATAACGTAAGAGACAGATTTGTTTGCAGGTGCATATACTATATACCAGTGGCGTATCCAGGATTTCCGTTCGGAGGAAAGGGCGAAAAAATTCTTTGACCTTTCCTCCAAAAATTTTTTTAAATTTAGGAAAAAAATTTAGGAATCATACCAAAAAAAGTTCAGAGGTGCGTGGCGTCAGCCACGCACTCCGAAATTTTTTTTTGGTATAATTCCTAAATTTTCGGAGGCTCATAACCCGAAATTCCTGAAGGGGGCGTGGCGTCAGCCAACCCCCACCCTCTCATGCCTTCTAGTGTGCAGTCGAGGGCTTCTAGAAACTTTTTGTGTGCCATCATGCATTCATCCCAAACTATTGATTTAATCTCTTGTAACACTGCAGTATTACCTCTGCCTTTGCTTATTTCTCATTGGGTGCGCCGAATAAGCAATGAAATCTAAAAGCGATGAGCAGTTTGGCCTTCAGCAGTGTTGCAACAGTCCTTGGTTGCCACTGCTGATGCGATTACTCCTTGCTTGCGAATCTTACAAGGGGAAAAAGTTTAGTTAAAGTGCCTTTCGAAAATGCGCTGTATACCATTTTAGAAGGCATAAAACGTTTATTCCTAATCTGCATTCTTCGTCTGCGGATAAGCGAGGTGAGCGTTTATTGGAGTAAGAAATAGATTGCTTTCACGATGAAATCAAGATAAGGTTTTTTTCTAACGCATATACGGTGCTGTGATAATCGTCAGGACACTCTATGCCATGAATGCTTTGAGTATGAGCCTACCTTTGTATCGTTGTTTTATTTGATACATATTCAACAAGTTATTTTCCCCTTAATACGCATTCAAATCTCTGTCCCCAAAACTCCATAACTGAGCGCCTAGATAAGCTTCGCAGACAAAGAAGGCAGATTTTGAAATCAGCCTTCTATGCCCTTTAATCTAGTATTACACATCTTATGTGAATGGCCACTTCTAAACATCCTTCGTCGAGGAGGCTGATGAGAAACGTTTTCCTTGTTTCACCTGAAAGGTCGACAAAAAGTAGCTCACCGAAGCCATTATGGGCAACAATAAGCGACTCTTGATTTTTTATAAGGAAAAGTATGTTACAACACCATACCTCTCCCAAATGCATCACTATCGAGTGTTTGTCTCTTCGTATTTGGTGACTTAAAAGCGAGCTCTCTAAAGTTTGCCATTCTATCGACGCACGCTTGACTTCAAGCAATATCAACGTCGTCACTAAACTGGGACAAGATAACTACAAGTTGGTGGGAGACCTGTCGAAACTTCATTTTGCTGACGATATCGTGCCCTTTTGGAGCAGTATCACTGAAGCAGCAACGATTGAAAGAACTAAACGAAGTAGAGAAGAAGATCGGATTGTGAATAAACCACAAGAAGACTCCTTTCATGGAAAACACACTCTGCGAAGATGCGAAAATGAATGTGGAAGGTACCCTATTATGGAGACGTCTTCTTACGTGTATTTCAGACGTTCGATGAAAATGGAGAACGACTTGAGGAAAGGACTTAATAAGAGAAGAAAAGCAGCCTAGGCCGCCTTCGGGTCTCTGAAGAAAGCCACCGACCAACTGACGGACCCAAGCATTGTGCCCACCTGTTCTACTCAACCGTTCTCCCTGCGCTCTGTTACGCAGCTGAGACTTCAGCCGACACTGTAGCCAGTCGAAAGCTCTACGGACCGCTTACAGAGCGCTTGCGCTCAGTTCTTTCAAAGGCGACATGGAACAAGTAGATCTAGTAGGACTTCGCAGCGGGGATGTGAGAAGAAAGTCCCGTAAAAAGTATTAGGCTAAACGGTAAAAAATAGGGCAGCCTGATTTTTATTACATGAACATTTTGTTCTTACCAACAAGAATCAGGCTGCAGTTCAAACGTCGCTTACATAATCGACCTTCGCCTATTATTCTCGCAACGCGTTACCACTCCTCTCTCCTAACCGTACGCGTGGCGCCGTGAAGAACTCAGACAGGGTTTTTTGAACAATTCTCAATCTTGCGCTGCTATATCGTAAAGTCGTAAAGCAAATGACATACTTTTCGAAAGAGTTCATGCTCTTTCAAACTTATGTTGACTATGTGAGATTTGCTCTCGAGTTCAGAAAAAAGAGCAAAAAATCAGAAAATAGCGATTTTTGGCGCAATAAAAATCATGTTTTGCCCTATATTCTCCTAAGAGCGATAAAATTTGAGATAAGCTGCATATGTGTGGGTAGAGCGTAAAAAGCAATACCAGATGGTGTCTAGAAAACGCGCGTTAACTTGCAAAAAAACTGACTAACACGTATCTTCGTTCTCGAAGCTGCTAATGACCATATCTCCTGACTTTGAAAGTAGAGGCCGCCAAGCCTTTGTGGATTTAATGACTGTCCCATCACCCATTCCAGAAGTGGTACTTTGGGTGGTCTCACATGTTTCACTGCTCAGATACTGCTCAAAATTCATGATTTATCGAAGTGATTAACTTTGCATTTCAGCAGGTATAAAAGTATTAGGTTTGTAAATGACCTCGCATAGGTATCTTCTGAATATTCTAACATCTATCAAAATCGGAAAATCTAATCACTTCTCTTTTTTGAGAAACCTCCAGTTACTTGTAAGTGTTCCATTTTTTACCGTTCACTCTAATACTATCGCATATCGTCGAGTCATTCGTAACTTAATATGTGAGCCTGCACACAAAATGTTTCAACGGACGGCACCCTTGATACTAACTTCTCGATCAAATCTTTTCTAGCATAAAAAAGTGTAAAAGTGTATACTACTGACTAATTAATATTCTTTTATACCAAAAGGGGCAAAGAAACAAGGCGAAGTCGCTGAAATGAGCAGGTTCCAGTCTGCTAAGTTCGTCAAATAGTGCGTATGGTGTGCAATACGCATATTAAGTTACAAATGACTCGAGCATATGTCAGAATCAATTCTTGATTTATATTTGGAAAAATCTGGTTATCTTAACAAGAATTCGAAGATAATTTTGACACTGCTACGAGATTCATTCGATTATAATGCAAGAAATCGAAGATTAATGCTTTTTCTGAAGTATTTCAAGAACAAAAGCGCATGATATGTATAGTCGATTCATCGAACGCAAAGACTGCGGACTTGTCGGCGTCTCTCTGATCAAGCGCTTTTTTGTTTCTCTTACCATCTGCTGTCTCTCCCATACATGAGCTATCTTGCTCAGACACTACGGCGCTCAATCTTTGCGTGTTATGAATCGACGATAACTTGATAATAAAAAATTGTGGTGTGATGTGTAGCTTTGAAGAACTATGAAAATTAACGTGAAATGCACAAGACAGATAATAAAAGTTCTGCTTCCCGCAAGAAAAAATCGCTCACTTACAAAAAAAAATTACGGGCGTCTTTCAGCTCAAGACTACTTAGGGCTTATCGTTAGTATTAAAGCACTGATAGCATTAAATAAACGCATACTTGGTGACTTTTTTCTTAAACAATGAAGCGTATTAGTGTTAATAACTTCTAATGTTCTACTGCGTGGGTACTGACTAGTTTAAAATTGTCTAGTGACCATTGCATTTGAACATCATAAAAATTACATGTGTAGACATGCCGCCCGATGTCACCAATAGATTCCCAGTCACTACGACTGCATAAATTATTAGGTTGGATAACTTTCGTTTTGACACGCAAATTTGAAGCTCCATAAAAATTCAGGTGGTTATGAATTTTCGTGAACTGGTAGCTTCAAGCTTCTCCTTGTACGGTAAAGTTGAGCAAACATCTCAAGTTGTATCCAATGCAAAATTTATCCCTTTCCAGATGCCATATTCCCTATCTAAGTCGTTGAAACAGTGCTTTCGCATGAAAATTTGAGGGGGCTTCAATAATCAGCAGATAGGGCTTACTTTTGCCAACTGAAACAATTTTTTGTAGCTCTGTGGCTTGTTTTTAAAATTTTTGGAGTAAATTTTTTGGAGTATCAGATTTTATATACCGCCGATTTCATAAAATGATAAACAGGTCAGGTGCCGAAGCAAGTTCTTCTCCACTTTCTAACAATCATCTTTTCTTGGCTGCGTGGAAAACTTTTAGTGACTTTCAGTTTTAAGAGTGCGGACACCCTAAATTTCGGTCTTCATATTTTAGGCGGAATGGCTCATTTCTTTATGAGGGTGGTAACAGTGGTAATCGAGTTGTGGAACCTCATTAATCTGAGGATTTTGCAGGTTATGCGTTTTTTTTAAATTCTATACTTTTATAAACTGTCTAGCAAAATTCTGAGAATGTAGCTGAAAAAATAAAAATTGCTTTAGCAAAATTCTCCCTACCTGCTGGTTATTGAGGCTCCCCCAAAAGTTTCAAACAAAAAATTTGAAAATTAGTAGTTGGACATGGTTAGCACGAAGGTTTGTAATCAGGGCCCGGCACCGATAGTTTGGGGTCAAACTGGACTTCGTTTTTGGAGTTAGAAGCAACGGGAACATCGTTTTTATGAGGTCCTGGAGGAAGCGCCAAAAAAACACGACGAACACGTCCAGGTTTCACGAGTTGAACGTGTCTTTCGCAAGCGCGCGAATTTCAAATGCAAGACTCAAACAAACAAATGGCTTTTTTACAACGCACAAACAATCACATGGCTCCGAATTTGGGCTACGTGTATACAATATTACTCCAAAGTATGTTATGTAAAAAGTTCCCAAAACTTATGTGTCCTAATATCCGTTCTCGAATTTATTGGTTTCTAGACCAACTACCAAACCAACTGGGTTGGTTTGGAGCATAAATATCAGAGAGTTCACATAAGTTTTGGACCTTTTTGATTTAAACGATTAAAACGGTCAAAAATCTATCATATAGTGAAGAGAGCGGATCAAACCATTGCCTCTCCCCTTTTTTGAGCCAAAAGTAGTATAATTCTACGCGTTGATAGATATCGCGCTCCAATCACTTGCGGTGCCCTTTGAAATATGTGGCGAAAAATGCATCGCAGGATTGTTGAGGCGACAGATTTGGTTGGTCTAGGAGATTTTCGACATTCCCAGCATCAAAATGGTACTATATCCAATGGCAGAGCCTTTAATCGACTCGAAATGTTTTCTTTTCGCTTTTTTGTTGCTATTTTGGTTGAATAAGGGTTTCCCTACTGATTTTCACGTCGAGAGGGACTTCGTAAATTTTCGCGAAGTCATGGGGGACTTCGTTTCCTAAAAGCCTTCAAACCAACGCGTGCCGGGCCCTGTTTGTAATTTCTAGCAATTATCTCAGCAATCTCTGAACGAATCACATTGCGAATATGGCAGCTGGAAAGGCTGGAAAGAGGAAGAAATTCTGCACCGGGTGCAATTTGAATTGTTTTTTTTCGTCGAGAGTTGCGGGTTATTTCAAAAAAGTGGCAATATTGCATCGACTTGATATTAAGTCGGTCCGAAAGTTCGCGCTGTTTTTTAGACCCATGCTTAAACTACTAAGAATGAAGATAGACAAACGCTGTGAAAAGATCTGATGCAGAATTCCTTCCTCTTTTTGAAAGTTATGCTTTTGTCCAGACTCCCTCAATGTCCCTCGATAATCGCTTTCAATATTCTGCAGGGATCTCCAGCCCATGATTTTCACCCATATGCAGTTTGGCTATCTTTCAATATTTCCATTTCCAACTTTGAAGTAGCCTTGATAACAGATAGATAGAATAAAAAAGCAATACCATCAACTACTTTGGCATCATCAACTAATTAACTCTTCAGTATTTCTCAAATGATTCTTCCAAAAGCCCTTACTTTTGCGAATTCGCGAAGTACACAATCGCTGCAAACATTGACAAATCTTCGGAATCTGTTTCAAAAATATTTCAAATTGACTTAGCACTAATCTTAGCAAGCAACTGAGTTTTTAGCTGTTCGAAATATTGAATTCCTGGGTAAAATTTCTGGGTACAGCCTGAGACGCGTCTGAAAACAAAAATTATAATTTTTTTATCCTCAGTATTATAAAAATCAGGTAGAAAAGAAGTCTATCCGATAAAGGAGAAAAAACTGCATCGAATAACACCTTGGTTGCTAGTCGTTTATTGTTCTGTGAGGATTGAGATACCCAAAGACAGAAAAATTATAATGTTTTTATTAAAAACAGTAAATTTTTATTATATTTTTTAGAAGGTCATACTATCTTGGCTTAGCTACAGCAAAACTCAATATCGGAATACTAGGCTAAGATTCAAAGATGGTCGAACCTTTGAAAATTTGAGACAGAAAATATTTTCACAAACCTTGAGAAGCAAATTAGAGATGCCAGAAAAATGTATTACATTGCATTTTATTTATTCTATTCTATGGTTTTCAAAGCTAGTCCAAAAGTGGAAAATGGAAGTCGAAAAATAGCCGAACTGAAGATGGGTGAAAATTATGGCTGGAGACCTTGCCGATTATTGAGCGAACATTGGGAAGTCTGAACAAGAACATAACCATTAGAAAAAGGAAGAAATTGTGCATCGGATAGTTCTTACAGCGTTTGTCTATCTTCATTCTAAGGGTTTGAGCATGGGTTTGAAAAACAACACCAACATGACCGACCTAGTATATTCTCAGACGCGATAAAAGATAGCTACGACTATTTTTTCAAAAAATCACTTCTTTCAATATTCAAATTTCGTTCTCAGCTTGTAGTAAGTGCACAGACGAGTAATTTGGTGATTGAATACATACAAACTTTCGCTAAGTGGCGAACCACGATGGAGGCTGTGATCTGCTGTTTGTGTATTCCTGTACCCAAAAATGTGATAATTACAGGTATCTGCGCGTGGAAGTCAGTTTTGGGGTAAGTCAGACTGCTTGAATTTGCCCATCTATGACCATACAAACGGTTGGAAATATCAAAATCGCATTGCGTACCATTTATGCGTCCAATTTCAGTTTTTTGGCAGGATTCTTCGAAAACTTGAACGAAAATAGCTGGCTTTTTTGCATTCCCGCATCATTTCGCCACTAAAGAAATGATCTTGTCCAAACCAAATTCACTATCCGATTTTCCTTGATCTTCCCTTTCGAATGATACTATCCGCTGCAGATCGTTGTTAGAAACAACGATTATCTTCCAGCTAATTTTATAAATATAAGCCCCCAAAACATGTTGTCTTACTACTGACAAGAAGATTGCCGCAATGTTTTCTTTCTTCTATTAGTGTACGCTCAAGGACTCGTTTTACGGGTGTAATTACTAGAACCTCCTTACTTTTTAGTAGAGCCGAAAGAGACTTTTGAGTGTCAGATGCACCAGCGTTGTTCTGTAAATATTTTGCGCATGTAAATCATAGCTACGTATGTTTGGTTCAACTCACAGATTTCGATATTCCTTCTTCTATATGATCATATGAATCGCTGCCACGTGTAGCTCTACTCTCCGTACGGTTAATTTTGTCCAAGGAATGCAGTGTTCTATCCTCTATGTAATTGTAGGTGTCCTCTGCTTGTGTATTTCTGTTCTGATAATGTCCAAATAGAGACTTCACCGTTTCCTTTATCATGTTGAAGAATATAAAAATATTTTATCGGTTTGCCTATATTTGCACTCAGCCACAATCCCAGCCCCAAGACGATCACAAATGACCACTTCTTTCAAATTGCGCTGAAAGTGAATTACGCACAAATATCACTGACGATATTATAATGAACTGATTCGGATGTATAAGGTTCATTTCTGCATTCTGCACAAGTAATTCACCAAAAAGCAACAATCAGCTAGCGACCTGGGAATGATGATTTGATCAAGACTTACGAAGAGGTATGCTCAAAAATAAACATTATAACAAAAAAGTTGTAAAAGATGTTCTGCAGTGAAACGAAGACGATGCAAGATGCAACGATGTAATTGAGCGTATAAGTTTACTGATATACATTGCCCCCCAACACATTTGTCTTCTTGTCATTAACGAGGCAACCGTTATCAGCTTTCTGAATGTTTAAATAGCGTCATTCTACAACCATCTCACGTAGACAGTGCGCTATGTTCGATTTAGAAAAGTTTGATTGGTTTCTGGTTTTCGATAGATATGTTTATACAAGGTGAGCCTTACTAACATGGATGTCGAGGACTTCGAGATTCGTCCCACAACTACAGTGGTAATCGGGAAGTAATGACCCACTGAGAGAAAATGGTATCGCATTGAACACCATTTTAGCGCCTCCTACTCTTAGTGATTATTCAAATCTTACGGTCAAGAAAATGTATTTTCAAATTGGGATTAGTTATACGAAGGTATGTGATAAAAGCTAATACATGGTTCTGTGCTTTTCAAGGCTGTCGCGATAGTCTTAGAAAGCAGTGATAGAAGCGGGGTATAGGAATCTATGTCGCAGAAGGTTCACTCCACGCGGAATCTGGTACAAATCTTTAATGTCAGCACTGTGAAGAGCTGAGTGCATTATTGCGGATGTCAGCCTGAAATCGCCTCCTTTTTCTATAATACTATAATCTTCCAATCCGCGCATGACGTCTTACCTCACGAAAATCACCTCAAAAAGGGAACGAGGATAGAGCGACACTCTTGGGATGAGAAAGAATCTACTAATAAAAAGGGAGTGCGAACCATAGTCTTAGTAATGTGTAGAGTTTGATCTACAAGTGACTTTAAGATTTCAAATTTACATCGCTAAGCAACTTCTTTGTTTGATCTGAAGGTAAAAGCAACCTCTGAATGGAATATTTGATAATTCATTGGATACAAAAAATTATTAAAGAAGCAAAGTTCGCTTGTTACATTCACGACATTACGACCCCCACGCCCTAGGCAGTACAATCACTGCCAAACGACCTCCGCCGCCCCCCTGTGGGCTTATGCTTACTAAAGTTCTAAATTAGTGGATTTGCGATGAACTTTACAGGACCTCGCACATGTTTGGAAACATTTTGGCCATACGATCCACAGTCAGACGTAACTTTGACGTTACAAAAACGCTCTTTTTCAAATGAGCAGAAACAGAAAATTTAGCTTGATCTTCGAATGGTTGAAACGCTGGGCCGTAGTTTAGATCGGAACTGATTTTTCATTCTATCTCCCGTATTTGCAGGGTCCGTTTACTTAGGTCCGAAATGACTTGAATGATGCGAAGCTTGCTTATCAGCTCGCATTCTCTTCTTATGTTAAGAAGAAGCTTCCTGGTATCGGTGTTGGGAGGTCCAGTGGCTTTTGCGGCGTCGCGCTGTGTCATCGAACCAATGAGCAGCCGTAAGACACGATGCGAAATTCTGCCCCGCTCAGCCACAGTGGCCCAAAATCAGTAAAATAAGTTACTTGAAGCCGAAAAATATTTTGATAAATAGGAGAACAAGTAGATTCTGCTTTGTAAGGTAACTTTCGATTACGCACGAAGTGCTTTTGGTACTTGGAAGCCTCGATCATGTGCGTGAGTGTAATGGAGGAAAAACTGACTGCTTCTTACAATTAGAAGCCGTAGTAACAATAAGACCGGAAGGAAGGAAGAAGTGGCTTCTAGAGGTTACTCATGCCTTTGTTAAAGAATTAACGGTAGACGACAGTCTGAAAATTTGGAGAAGAAGAAGTGGAAGAACTTGTAGCGCCTGGTCTGTAAAGCACTATATAAGCACTAGAGAATTTGTTATATGTGTGTGTGCTATCGTACAGTTTCGTCTTTAACTGTTACTCCATATTTCCTTACCTCTCCTCTTAGGCCTCCTCCTTGGAGGCCCACCAGCTACCTTCGTGACTTCTTTGTTCTTATTGGTGATCCTTTCACTTCCACTGGTGTGTCATTCGCAAATTTCACTCTCTGGATTGATCTTGTCAATTGCGCAATCTCCTAGAGCGGCAGTGATTTATGTAGTGTGTACGTGTGTGTTCTCTGCGTGGGAATAAATGGTTGTTGGGAGACGGTGTAAACTCAGACATAATGGCGGCATTTTGGCATGGCTAAGTTCCAACTAGTTGTTTATGGTGTGTGCTAGTCCGTAACATAAAAAGACCAAATTCGCAACATTATACCGGCGTGGTGGCTTTCTCCGGTCATTTAGCGGGAATTGTAAAATGAGAATTTATGATAATGGATTAAGGCTGAACGATATAGACTATGGCAGGAATAGAGACCCTGCCACGCGAAGCATAACAAATCCAGCATTACATGGAGGTTCCGGCTTCGAACTTAATTACCTTGTTACAACAGTTGTTGCGTCTGGTTCAGATTTTTTGATAACCGCAAATATTATATAAGCGCGACCAAATTTCATAGCGCTAATCATGAACGCGGCTCAGCTCTATTTCTTCCTAGCTATTCATCTTCACGACGAGTCCCCAGAGGACTCAGACGGGCCTGAGGAACGGGCAGCTAGGCCGTCCGTAATGCCCGAAAACTTCACTGATATTCGGCGCTTTGCTAAATTTTATCAACTCTCGACAGCGCTAGATCTTGGCCCGAGCTAGCTTGAGTGAACTATCCGCAATCATCATCTCCAGTTGGTGTGAAATACTTTTTGAAATGGCTCCAGCGGTCTTCAATGGGACCTGTGGACGGTATGTCACGGGCCATACCCACTTTTGGATCATGGCCCGTCATGCCGGGAATTTTTACTTCGCGTGCAGAAGATGTCCAACGCGCCGGGGAACCCATTGTCTGAGAGATCATCTCAGACAAAGGTTTGGGGCACTACTAGTGCACCCCGGCGCAACCCTGCTGGACTTTTCGCCGGCAGAGGTTTGAGGGACAGTTTTAGCTGTCGAACAGGTTTGGTTGGCGGTTCCTCACCTCCCGGTTTCTGTCCCCCGAAACTTCCTCCCCGAAATTTAGCCTCGCGAAACGTGTGATATCATGTCATAAAATGTGTTTATTCTCGTAATTATGCAATAAAAACATTCGCCACATAGCGTGTTTTACAAGTCAAGAATGAGATAGGGAATAGGAAAGGAAAATATCATGCGGTAATCTATATATATATATATATAAAACTCAATGTCTGTGAAGATGTTCGTTTAGTTGTTTTTTCGTTATAGAAACGCGGCCACTGAACCGATCCGGCTGAAATGTCGCACATGTATGTTTTCGACCCCGGCGGTGGTTCAAAGCTACTTTCCGCGGCAATTTGCCGGGACATTCTATCGATTTATTGATTTGTTTACTCAAATCTGAGAAAATGAAGGGCCATCATGGCAATCGATCATTTTTACATATAAGCATGTAAGCAGGGGCGGTAAAGTTCATTTCGGTAGGGTGCGCAAATAGTTTGAAAGCGCTTTATGCGCATGTTCGAAGAAACCTAGAGGCGTAAGGTTACAAGTTCTGTTGGCTTAACCAACTTGAAGTCTCGGGTGAGACTGGGGCCACCAGCTAGTATATAATAATGTGCTAAGCTTGTTCGTTCTTTGTGAGAGTGTGTGTGAAATTCTGTCCGTCGCGAAATTCGTAGAAAGAGTCTCAGCCAAGAAATCGAGCCCAGTTGTTGCACAGCGCATGCTATCAAGATGAGAATTCATTACACGAAAGTAAGAGCTGATTTGTCGAGTGAACCTCTTATAAATTCCGCTTCATACAAATTCACTTTTCTTCTGATTAGTAAAGTTGAGTCGGTACCATTACCTTTTGCAAAATAATGGATACGCTTAATAAGCTAATGTGTAACCCATGGATTTTAGCAAAAATAAGTGAGCGAAAATTGATTACTTTATAAGAAAGGCGCCAAAAGTATTGGTTGTGCAAGTGTTCGTTATGCCAGGATTTGACTCTATTTTTTAGGAACATTCTTGCACAGAAAGGTAGTTTACGGCGATTATTGTTCTTGAAAGGACACTTTATAATTTGCTGCACATATCATAATTTTTCCAGGATATATTCTTGAAAGCATTCCTTTCCAAAAACTATGTACATTAAAAAACTAAACGCAATAATGTATATGCTCGCCCTATCCAACTGCTATTTAGTCATGCCTGCAACCGTCGAATCAACCACAAAAGTTTGAAAATCGATCCAAACTTGTATTTATTCTCATAGGAAAAGCTTTACGAGAAATTGCTGGTCTCATACGAAAAGCTCTAGGAACGAGCAGTCGTTTGTAGATTATTCACGGTAGCCTGCAAAGCGCGATGAATTTCGGTGTCATTATTGTGTGGGGATGAGAAAGCCATAAGAAAATAGGGCCAGAGCGAGCCTCTGCGAACCAGAGGTGGCGCACTGGTATGGTAATGAAAGACTTGAAGTCTCTCCTTCATTCTTTACAAAATAAGCAGCTACCCAGATAGACGTCGTTTTGCCATAAAGGCGTGAATTGCACACCAAAATTAGATTCACTCATTGTTGGAAAAAAAACTTTTTTCTCTCTGACGCCTGGTATCTCATCACTCCCTAGGACTTCTATGCAAATTTAGGCTTCAATACATCTTGTACGATACCATAATCGCCCTGTGATCACTGTCCTTTTTTTATACTTCGTTACAGCAAACTGTCGTTGGAGCGCGTAGAAACTCCAAAGGTCAGCGAAGGCTACCTACGGCGGTTGCGTAATCAATTAAGAGAAGAATCGCTTGCAAAGAACCAGTTAAGAGGAAACATGCCGGAGGAAGTGGATGATTCCGAAGAATCTGAGGAGCTGATTCCGAAACAAATATACCAAGCCTCCAAGATCCTGG